ATTTCGTTAGAATAAATGATGGAGTTTTCAATTTAATTTTGGTGTTCTGATTTTATATCATACTCAACAGGCTCATGATGTCGTCTATACAATGAACCAAGTGCGAGTAACTGTGAAAAGCACCTGTGGGAATTTATACACATCTATGACAATATCACGAGACAGTGGTGAATGCTGCTCAACTTATTCAACAATAATTCAACTTGTAATCAATATTGTGCCAATGTCAATCAACCTTGATAGGTTAAATTAATACTACTATCGATCAGCCGAAATAAAGGCGTTGAACTGCATATCTGTTCACAAATTAGCCATTTACGTATTAAATAACCATCAAAATAGTAATGTAATTTTCAACAACACGTTCTAACAACAATATCACATTTTACTAGGCGTCAGTAAAATTAGCTATAGGACCCAACCGGCGCCCCGGGTACCTGATTTAGGGCTTGAGGGTAAGTTGTGTTAGGCGTTAGTGAGAGAATCCTATAATTTTTAAGAATGTTAACTGGAGACAAAATTTTTTTTGGTTGGGAACTTCATTGAGGTTTCAGTTTTAGTGTCCCGCAAGTGTTCTCATTCCCAGCTTTAGCTATCTCTCGCATTCCAATGTCAAAGACTTGTAATTTGTTCACAGACCATTTCAACTAATTAATAGTTACCCGTGTTGTAAATATACAGCCTTCAGCCGTTGTAAATATACTGCCTTCATTTAATATCCCGCTTCATTATATATATTCCTTGAATAGCCAATTGAAACGATTGTACAACTCCCATCCGGACTTCAGGCGAGCGTGACAGTAGGACCTATCCGTACTTAGGAGGTGATGCAACTGGTAACGTCGATTTCTGAGCTTAGTTCATCACAAATATTACAATCATCTAATCTATTAGTGATATTATCAACAAGGTGGAGGTTGACATAAATCAAATTTCATCTCTGCACCATTCTAAATTTGCTGTCTAGATGCTGTCTAATTTTGTCACTGTATATAACATTATTTCAGCTAAATATTTTGCATTGATGATGTTCTCATAGCTTTTCTCAGTAAATAAATACATTATTGAAGAAACACCATCAAATTTAATAAAGGAATACAAAAATCCCGTGCACGAAGAGTTAGAGCGAGTTCAGTCAGTCTTGTTCCGAGTCAGTGGATTCTCCTCCATTGGGTGAGCGGGTTAGGGCACGGCAGCATAGAGGCACAGGCAGAACCGGATAAACTGCCGCGTAAAATTTAAATCATGAGCTTTCATAGTCAGGCACGTGATATTTATATTTTAATATTTTTTATTGTTTGAGATATTTATAAAAAAACATGTTGCGCGAGTTTGTTTAAAAAATAAACACATTTTGTAGGACTCACGTTCAAATATTTCATGGTGGAGCTTTTGCAGTTCGGGTAAGCCTTTGCGAAGTTGGGATCAGTGCTGCATTGGTTATTCAGCGCAATCGTCTGGAAAGCCGCATCGTCAAATGTGTTGCCGGGTTTCAGCTGTTGAGGAAAGAAGGGTATGGAAATAACTATTGAAATAGAAAAAATTAAGCAGCAGACACGCTCATTTTTGGGGTTGGGGATTTCTTTTCGTTGCGAAAAATTACAAAAAGTTAGTATTTCAAGACAAATAATCAAGAAATTAATATTTCACGGGGTGAAATTTGAGAGACCGGGAAAATTGCGGGCTTGCTAGATCAGGAGATTTTGAAAAATTTGCATTCTTCATGCAAACAAGCCAATTTGTATTGTCAAGAGTTATGCTACAACTACATCTATATTATCCCATTGCTGTTTACTGATAATGCTTAAGAAAACGCTACATATATAAATTCAGCGGTCAAAATAAGATTGAACTCACAGTAAAAATTCAGATTGGGCCCTAAATTAGCGCATAGGCGAAATTGTTCATGTCTACACAAGTGCTCATGTAATTGCACGATTTGCTCAGTGCACCTATTGAATTCCTGGTTCTCAAATGCACTTCTCTTGTACATTTCGTTCGCCTGATGCATGCGTGTCACCAGAATTTTACATTAGTTCAGTTTTACAAGCATCTAGAGTTTCACTTGCGGTGTTGGCTCTAAGAGTGAACAGAAGGAAATGTTTTGTACGTGTGCTTTAATTCTGAAGATCCGTGGAAAAAGTATATTTGACTTTTATCGTGTTATACATGCATGTTCAAAATAAATTATTTTACTTCTTGATCATACCTTCTGTTCAATACTAATTTTATGTAACCACTTTTAACGCATTTACTCATTTATTAAAAAAATGCACTATTGTGCTCGCCATGTCCGTCTATCTGTCTGTCCGTGTCCTCAAGTCTTCGTTGATCGAGAAAATGCGCTCTCTGTCACTCACTGCAGTTAGTACTGAGTTATATTTTTTACCTTTGTATATTGTTTGTTTACAGAAACCGATTTTATAAAGAAAAGGAAAACGAAAAATCGTGTATTCAAATCCTTCGACAAACGCATATACGTAACAGCACCAGTATACTGAAATACTCACTTGCTTGGCTGCTTGCAACGAGCACTTATAGAAATTGAACAGAATTGGATCACATGTTGCTGCATCGTACGCAGTCACACTTAAGTTGGCGCATTTCGAATCTGTTGGGGAAATAATAAAGTCGATTGATTTGGTATTACTACCATCTACACGATGATGAAAAATCACAGGCTGAATCTGTAATTAACAAGGCAAAACTGACGACCACAAACATCAGTAACTTTAAATTTGAGGACAATAAATCTTGAGCACCACTGATATGCCAATCAATTCGTCATTAGAAGCTGCCAATCGCCAATGAAGCTGCTTGTTAGAAGTCTCCAGCAAAACATACCGATTGGAAATCAAAATTTCATGTTGAGAAAATGAAATTTAAATGTGTTCATTTCAGTTTGCACAAAGCGTCTATGGAAATTACGTAGTTTTTGAATGATCATCTGTCGATGTCATGTTGAAACGAGTTTTTGATCGTATAGGTTCGCTCAAAGTGGTTAATAGGTTTAGGAAATTAGCTCAATAAAAATATTAAGTGTGTATGGCATCCGTTAACCAGAAGTAGATAAATCCAAAAGATGTAAATTTCAATATGTTGTCAACTTACTCCCACACAGTCGAGGTGGTTTGCCTCACACATTAAATGAAAGTATTGGTTGTTGAGCTTAGACACACAATCGATCAACAAAGGTTGGAATTATGTTAATAGTAATAGGAATAAATAGATGCAAAATAACACTTTTTAAACTCACTCGAAGAAAACTTGTCCCAGTCTTTTTTGTACTGCAGATAGCAATTATTGGAGCCCACGGTATTCGCAACGACCAGGTATCCCGCATTCACAGCATCTCTACATGGAGATGCACCTCTGTAAAAATTACAAAATAATCATTTCAGTGTATAAAATTAGCAAGTTCCTTCATCTCTGAAATGTGGAAAACGTTTGAAAAATTTCACGAAATTAATTCAAAGAATATACACGATAGAATATAGAATAGAATATGTATACACGTTTGAAGAATATACACGATATTATATTTCAAAACAACAGCTCTTCACATCCAAATTAATTTTCTCGTTAAACCATCAGGAAATAACGTATAAACGTTGCAATGATCAAGGTTCAGACACTCAGGTATGAAAAAGCAATAATACAATCTAAATTAAATAATGTTTAGGCTATATCGAAGTTGCAAAATAACAGTCTATTACTCTAAATATGGGTCATTCTTCAGTGAAATCGTCAATTTCAATCAAATATAACACAATCAAAATAATTACGACATATATGAATTATTAACAATTACGTTCTCAAATCTTGTCAATATCAAATCGTCGATCATGTTTGAAATCAAAGCACTTACGCCGCGGACGAGGCAGCGGCGGCGGCGATCAGAAGCATCAGAGCTCGCGTCATCTTTTCTCTGTGGTCGTGGCAGCGGTGCGATGGCAGGTCGNAGCGGGGTTGGCATGTGGTGGCCATGTTATAGGCTTTGGAAATGTTGGGACAGGTGTTAAGAAATGCGTCAGAGGATGTGATTAATGATGCATTGTGCACACATGCGTGCAGAATCATCATATATTTTATGCCTCTAAATATACAAAGTTTAATTTTAAAGAACTGAATGCTGTCTATTCATATGTTTTTGGAAACTTGTGTTCCAGCATGTTACTTCATGTTCTTTCGGTAATTTATTTCCTAAGGCAAAATATACATTATAAACACTTTTTTCGAGTATAAAAACTCAATACTCTTGTAAAATCAGTATTTGGCAAGTGATGGCATTTAGAACATTATTTTTACCTTAAAAGACCCTTGACAATTAATTATAAATATTCTCATGATTAATTATTTTCTAATTTTTTATCTCAATTTCACTCAGATGGTATTTAAGTGGACCACTATAAAGGTGAATGATATGTACTGTGTAAAAAATAATTGCAATGAATTAATTTAATGATTCGAATAAAATTAATAATTCGGTTACATTACAGTTCCAGTGCTCGATGCTTGCACATCTTTTCTTAATAAGACAAGTTGCAAATTATTAAGTACTACCATTAAGTTATGCATTGGTAATAATTGGTAAAGTGACTAATACTGCAGGTTCATAGGTGCAAGTTATTTACCATTTCTCATTCAAGAACAGAAGCTTCGATGACAGTAGGAAAATTAAAAACTCCATAACTGAAGTTATCATAATATAAGCTGCATTCTAATTAAAAATGTCTTCACACTCACGAGTCTTTTAATTATGTTAGCCTTAATACAAAACGGCAAACAAAATTGAACTTTTATTTCAAAGACGACTGGTCCAAATCTTGAGAAAGCAGGCGCATTCTCAGAATATTGAGGATAGAACCAAGTCTCACAAATTAACGCTTGGTAGCGGTTCCGATATAGGTTATCGACGTTATGCCGACGAATAAACCCGGCCCAACATAACTGTAGAAGCAAGAAGTAACTTTTAAATTTTACAATTCTGCATTACAGCAATAATGTTCCAATGTCGCATTAAGTTTCAATAAATACATTCACAGAAGCCAATTCAACACACCATGACAAACTGAAGGCTCTTTGTATCGTAAACTGTGTCGCATCAGAAAGTCCTCAAGAAATCGAAGGTTGTTTCCCACCAGATCCGCAGTTATTCTATCGAATAAAAGAAATAAATAGCTGTAAGTTGATTGGTAATCAAAATTAAAGCTCTAAGAGCATAAATGTAAGACGCACTTTGTCAATATATCTACAGCCTCGGACCCACCTTAAAATCTTTAGCCACCATGCGGTTAAGCTGTAACTTTTAATTATCAGGCATGTAAAGAGGCCATGTAAAGGGAAATAATGAAAGTAGAAGAAAGATAGGGCAGACTCCAAATTTAATAAGTAATTAAGTTTAGGAAAGCACCAAGCTTTCCCAATAGGTTAGGAACAAATATTAAAGTTATTAGAGCAACAAGCCGAAGCTCAAAGTTAAGGTGGTCGAGCCACAAGAAAAAGCCAAGCCCAAATTTTGCACTGGAGTCCGCCCTTTCCTCATCAAAGAAAGCGCGACCATGCATTATTAACGTAAATAAATAAAACGAAAAATAAAGAGTGATCACTCAAAATAATAAATAGCAACTAAGAAGGGATGGCTTCATACACTCCTAACGGAGCAACATTAATGTGATGTTTACACCACCAAGTCTTACAGCCAACTCTTAGCTGGCTGTCATCATTTGTCAACATTTGCATATCACCATGATCATCATTTTCGTCATCATCCCGTAATTCTATGGGTCACGTGTTGGTCGACAATGACTCGTTAAAGCACTTGTAAAATATCATAGTTCTCACTTTCGAGTTGAACATAATTAAATCTTAAACTCGTGTGATGCAAGAATTCACCTGAAGCATTTTTCTGATTATAACTAAAAACATCGGCTAAATTTTATTTATTGACAGAATTATATGTAACAATTATATTGTCTCGTTATAAATTGAACAAGGATTTTTCCGTGATTGTATGCACACGAAATTTAATCTCTAAACTCTCGCCACATATTTCATCTTTGTCGTACAGTACGAGCGCCTCAGCCGAACAGTCTGCAGGGACTAAAATACGACTTATACTGAATTCCAAGATCTCCCATGTTTTTTCTATTTCGGAATTATAAGAAAAGCAAAGGGGCTTACATGCTTAATTAAATGCGTTGTTCCAGAGCGACGTTCATTTTACGAGCCTCAGGCGTGTTGGTCCAAGTGCAGCAAGCTAACAAAATGACAGCAGTCGATCAACCTTGAGACCTGATTAATGATGTGAGTGATGTGTAAATTCTATTGCAGAATTATAAGTGAAGCAAAAGGATTGTCATGCTTAGATGCGCCTTCGCAGAGCGTGGTTCATTTTACGAGCCTCAGGGGTGTTAGTCCAAGTGCAGCAAGCTAACAAAATGACAACAGTCGATCAATCTTGATATCTGATTTATGATGTTAATGATGTGTGCATTCTATTGCAGAATTCTAAATGAAGCAATCGGACTGATATGCTTTGCTGCGTAGTCGCCGAGCGGCCTTCATTTTACGAGCCTCAAACGTGTTGGTCCTAGTGCTGCGAGCTAACAAAATGACAGCAGTCGTTCAATCTTGAGGTCTGATAAATGATGTAAAAGATGTCGGCATCTGATATGATCACTTGAAGAGTAATAAAAATTAAGAGATGATTTGTTTTACGATTTACGCTTGTTTTGAAAAAAAACATCACACGATGGTAGCTGGTTTTAGGTGAAGTCGGTTTTGTAAAGAACCTGAGAAAATATGACGTTACTTCATTAAAATCAACATCGCGCAATCCACTGCATTATTTGAAAATTATGATTAATCCAGATAGATTTTGGAAATGAAGGTGGTGAGACAGATATGTTGAAGGCTGAGTGGCATTAAGTAAGGTAACATTGTGAGTAAGGTCAGATACGAATAAGATTGTCAGTGGGGTCAGATATGTTGAAGGTGATGAGTGTGATCAGATTTGTTGAAAGTTGTTATTGTGGTCAGAAATAAGAAGAATCATCAAAATAATGTACCGGATTTGTGTCGGGGAAGATGTCCTCAGTTATCAAGAAGTCAAGGGAAGGGCCCCGAAACTGTTATGCTTCTTTGCAGTAGGGGTACCTTGACTACCAGCGTGCAAACTTGAATCAGCCAACGGATGTGCCGTTGTGCTGAAATCAGGAATTGTCAGTGGATCAGGATTTAACTGTCACGATTGACTTGTTTGTTCTTTCTAGAATGTATGATAACCCATTGTTCTTTATTACGCATGTATTGTAATTTGGTCTCTGTATTGGTCTAGTACTCTAGTTTAATTTTTAGTGCATTTAGTGAGCCTTCACGCAAACGTGAGTAGCCAATATTTGTGGTTTTTGTTAAGTTGTGACAGTGCTCACAGGAGGCCAGTTTTTTGCTCAGGTTAGATCAAGGACGATAAAATTGAGATTACTAGTTGTAGTATTCCTTATGCTTTAAGATATGTGCTTCAATTAGCTTATCGTGTTACCTTTCACGAGGTTTGCCGTCTATTTCTGCCGAAAAATGTATTTTACCAATTCTGATGATATTGACATTGAGAATATTCCAATTCAAATTGAGAATCAATATCAAGATTTTTACTTGAATGTCTTGATTCCCAGGCTCTGAAGCACAACTTATCCAATCAGAGACTTGAATCAAGTTGTAGAATGCTTGTTTTTCATATCCATTATGTGTTCAGAGCAGTTTCAGTTTTCTATTAAATATCTTTTTGATGCAGTAGTATAATCCAATTGCAGTTTACCATGCCTCTTTGAAAGTCTTTAAAACAAAATTACTAATTAAGTTTTCTGTCTGAATTCTGACTTGAGTTCTGTTTTTAATGCAAGCCTGTATATGCAGGATTTTTACTCTGGCAAGACACAAGTAAATGTTCTTTTGAATTTCTTCTTTCGGACCTTCAGCGCTGTTGAGCCGGCGTTGAGCGGATAAGATACCGTGAAATTGATTGCGCTTAAATAATTCCACAACTATAATTTTTCACGAAAATCCGCCAGAAAATTGCCAGAATCGAGCATTTTCCACTATTTTTATATACGTTTGTAATTGTGCGCCAAATCTCATTACCTAGTCACAATTTTTGAAGGGGCCCATGATGGCCCAAGGTGGCGTTAACAATATTGACCACATGTGGAAGTGACATATAGCAGTCTCATGGTTTTTGTGAAAATTCTGCCCAGCTTAGCTAGGCCATGTAGAAATCAAACCATTTCTACATAGAGCCAACATAGCTTCCACATGACAAAACCATGTGCCTGCCACAGTTTGGCTACATCGTTGTCTTAAATTGGCCCAACATGAATCTATTCCTGGGCCTACATTTCCATCATACGTCAAAACCATCTTCGTTTTGGGTTGCTCCGACATGGCGGCCACATGATGAGGCCAGCAGGTTTCTATCGAGGGCCCACGAGTCAAGAACATGGGTAAACCGTGTATACATACCATATACCTTTATTCTACTCGCGGTCTTTCATCCTAGGGCCCAGTTGTTTCCAGCAAGGGCCAAAAATTAAGCGTCAAGCACCGGCGCCAACACTAAAATTTTGAAGTCATTATCGTGTAGATCTAGTGAGCTATAATAGTCTGGAACCTCATATAGTTGAGCTCATACAAGGAATGAGTCTTACTCTAAATTTCGCAGTTGAGATTTAAATTCACACTGAAAAGCCGTCATTCGTTCTGATCCAGGGGCCTTCACAATTCATTTCGTTAGAATAAATGATGGAGTTTTCAATTTAATTTTGGTGTTCTGATTTTATATCATACTCAACAGGCTCATGATGTCGTCTATACAATGA